CGGCCGGGAGTGGAAAAGTACCTGGTGCCCACGGTGCCGCGCAGTGTCCCGCGGGCACCGGCCAGCTCCCCGGGCACTGCATCCAGCGCCGCTTCCCAGCAGTTATTTTTCACGCCCAGCTGCCAAGAGCGCTACTGAAAGAGCGTCTTGTTTGGCCGTGTTTGCTGTCTCGCCACCGGCTCCAGCCCGCAAAGCTGCCTCCACAAACCACCCCCGAGGAAACGGCCGGGCAGAGGCCAAGGGCCGAGGCGGGGATGCCCTCCTGCCCCGCGGGCTGCTGCTCGCCCCGTTCTGCAGCCGGCAAGGACCTGGAGTGCCGCTCGCCGGTCCCCATGCCCTGGGGTAGCGTTTGCCACCTTCTTCATGGCATGTGGGACCCATGGGAGTTTGTGGAGAGGCTGCACCATGCGCAAGGGCCTCACTTAGCACTTCTGGCCCTTGTGCTAGAGCGACCAAGATACAGGTTCCCCTGCATTTCAACAGAAACATCTCCATGCCTCATCTGCTGTGTCGAGGTAGCACCCTGTGGAAGACCTGGATGAGCATCCAGGTGGGAAGCTACCTGCAATCCTGCAATGCAGCCTCCTTGATGTCCTGGACACAGACCTGGCTGCAGAGAGGGAGCAAGATCTCAAAGCCTATCTCAGCCCATCCATGTCCATCCTTGCACTGTGAGTAAAAGGGCAGAAGAGGGACGAGCTCTGCAGGTGCAGTCCCTTTAATGGGATTTTCTTGCTGACTTTCAATCCAATCTCCGCCCATCAATCCAATTCAATCCATCGCCCCATGCACCATTGCACCATGAGGCAGCCCGTGCCGAGCTGAGCTCGCCCTGAGGGTGAGGAGCAGGGCATAGCAGCAGGGCCAGGCACTGTTTGGGTCACTGGCAGCGATGGGGATATGCAAGACTTACCCGGGTTCACCTGGGCTCTCGCAGCCTGCGGGATGCCCAGCAGGAGCAGCAGCAGGGCCGGGCTGGCGAGGGCCGTCATGTCGGCAGCACGTTGGTCCTGGAGCCTGCGGAGACAGAGCCGGGACTGGTCACGCTGAGGCACCACCGCACTGGTCCAGGGCCACCAGCCCCACACAGAGGCCCCTTGGCCTCAGCACAGGAGGGAGCCCTGGCCCACGCATTGCCATGAGAGTCATCAGAGCCATCCAGCAACCCCGCTCCAGGACGGTGCCGCCTAGCTCAGTATCGCTCCAGAAATGCTCCGACTGGCCTCCCCATCCTCAAGAGGTTTTGAAAGCAAGATGTTGCACAACCCCGTGGTGTAACAAAATAATAACACATTGCAAAACACAGTTTCCTTGCCTTCTGGCTCAGCAGACACAATCACAGATAATTGACCGTGATTTATAGCATATTTATTGTGACAGTTCTCTGGGGCCAAGCGTTTTCCAGACCTGCCAAGGCAAACTCCCAGAGGAGCTGAGAAAAGGCGAGCGCGCTGAGGAGGACCCCGGTGAGACGCCGTGGGGACACGGAGCAGCGCTGGCGAGCGCCGTGACCCACTGTGCTGGGGCTGCCCTGTGGGGCAGGGCTGGGAGCCAGCGCGGGCGCCCCGGCCAAGAGCTGCGGTGCCAGAGAGCGCAAGGTGCCGAGGGGCTGCCAGGGGCCTCCGGGCGCCTCCCGCCGCGGTTTTCCCAGGCCTGGCCGGGAGGAGTTTGTTAGATGTGGCGGCGAAGGGGACAGGTGTGCGGCCAAGCAGCAGAGCTGATAAAACTGTCGCCCACCCTGGCTGGGACACGAGTGCCAGGGCACCCTGGGAGCAAGGAGGGCCCGTGGCACAGACAGGCAACGCGTCCTGCTCACTGCTCCACAGGGCACTTTGGGGCAGGACTGGAGCCATCCCGAGCTGCCAGCCATTATCCATGAGGATGGACGGAGTGGGGCGAGCACAGGCGGGATTGCAAAAGAGGGAGCAGGGCCCGGCCAGATTGCAAGCTTTGTGGCGGGCTATTTAAAGCAAAATAAAAGCAACAGATCCTCAACAAGTGGATGGTCTGGAACAGGATGGTTAATTACTCAGCTCCCCGTACAGGTGACGGGTGGCCTGTGAAGGCCTGTGCTAGGTGGCCCTGCGCCCATGAG